CCTGGGACCCCACCCCGGTCCAGTTAGAACAAGCAGAGATGAGTAGTTTTGGGTTGTTTATTTTTTTAAATTGGTTGGCATGCATTCATTCATATACATCATGTTTCATACATGTCCTTTTTGTTTTATACAATCATTCATATACATTTTATTTATATATTTCATTACCATTGGTCTCTGCTTTTTATCACCCAAGCTTTTCAGTTCCACATTGAACCTTTTACATTCCTTCACCTCCCCTCCACCCACTAATCTCTGCTATCCCAGGAATTTTTCCCTTTCCTCTGTTTCTGCTCTCCTACTCTCCTTCCCCTTGCTCGGTTACCCTCCACTTTTTACAATAATGGTCTTCTGTGGTATTTGTCCTTATTGACTGAGTTACTTCACTCAGCGTAAAGCTCTCCAGCCTCTCCCATGTTATGAAATAGTTCTTCCCTAGTGCTGCATAGTATTCCAGTCTGTGGATGGACCACAGCTTCTCTCAATCAAATCATATGTTGATGAGCATTTGAGCTTCTTCCATTTTCTTGCTATTGTGAATAATACTGCTATGAACATAGGTACGCATATCTCCATTTGTGTCTCAGTTCTATTTTCCTTGGAATATATTCCTAGTAGTGGAATAGTTGGATCATAAGGAATTTCTAGGTCCAGCATTTTGAAGAAACACCAAAATGCCTCCCATAGCGGCTGTACCATTTTACAATTCCACTAGCAGTGCATTTGAGTTCTAATCTCTCCACATCTTTAACACTTACTATTTGCTGTGCTGTTAAACTTTGCTACTGCTGCTGCTGCTGGGGTGAGAGGGTATCTTGTTATTTAGGCAGAGATGACAGTTTTGAAAGGTCCCCAGGTGGCTCTAAGGTGTAGCCAGGACTGAGAGTGGCTTCATTAGGACAGAGCTCATCATGGAGCCCACGTCATTGAGGATGTGAATTAAAAGCTGATTGATTCTGAAACTCCTGGGTAGGACCCAAGGGTCTGCATTTCTAACAGGTGTCCAGGCAATGTGGACGTGGCTCACTGTGGCCCAGACCGAGTAGCAAGGCTTTAGGCTTTGGCGTCTCCGACTGCAGATTTACTGCTACTGTGACTCATTCATTCAATCCATGCTTATGTATTTATGGTGTAACACAGATTTCCTTTCTGAAAGGAGAAGTAGTCTAGAGGGTAAATTCAGCCTCTTCATCTTTCTTCTCACACCCATTGACTGCTCTCTAATTGCTTCATTAACTCTTGATTTTGTGCAGAGAAGGCAGAGGTTTCTGCAAAACACTGAGTGAGAGGGGGCAGTGGTTAGCACTAGAAGAGTCTGGATTTTGCAGGAGCCTCACGACATGAAGGAAGTAGGAAGTGGGATTGGGCAAAGCTGGACACACACCCAGGGAGCACGTAGACGTTAGGTCGCAGCAGCAGAGACTGAAGGAGAGCTGGTGGGCAGGCAGGTGTGGGTCTGAGTGCACATTTAAGGTGCTAAAGCCAAACCCAAGGACTGGAGGAAACCTTGCAAAGGCTGACATTGTGTTTTAGACTCTTATAACATTATCATTATAGCCACTGTTGTTGTTGTCATCGTCTTATTATTATTATTATTTGTGTGTGTGTGTACCGTCAAATCAGATCTGACTGGTAAAGGAAGAGATTGCCTCTCTTCCAGGAGAGCATCTCGTGGATTTGAACCACGTACCTCTGGGATTGCAGTGCAGCTTCTTGCCACTAGGCCACCAGAGCTCCCTACATCCACTGTCTTTTGAAGGCTCAGGTATATTGGGAGTAAAATGACCTAACTGTATACAGTGTCATCTGGTAGACCACGAGAGTCTCAATCTGAGACTTGTCGGGAACAGGCTGGCTGAGTTAAATGGTTTGCCTTCATCCCCCAAGCGCCCCCAGTGGGCTCCCCTCTGTGGACAGAAGGCATGGCAGGGGTAGGAAAGGTGAAACTTGTGCTGGGAGAAGTTGGCAGGTGGTCTAGGAGGAAGGCACCAGGAGGTCAGGTGGGTGGTGAGGGAGGGAGGGAGACAGGTGCCTGGAACTACAATAAGAACTTGACCTTGGAACAAGGCAGCAGCCCAACCCTGTCAGCTAAGTGGCTGGCTTTCAGCTGAGTCACGGAGCTGGGTGAGGCTCTCAGCACCCCCAGACTGCGCCCAGCTGGGAGAGCAGATGGTGGAGAGGCCTCAGCCCTGGGGGTGGGGGATCATTCAACAGGGAGTCAGTGGAGGCTGTTCCCAGAGCCTGCTCCTAGCCCTCTGTGTCCTTCCGCAGTTCACATCTTCCCTGTGGGGCCTCACGCAGTTCTGCCTGCAGCCCTGGCTCTTCCTCTTTCCCATCTGGTTTCCTGACAGAGAGCCTGGCAAGTGAGCAGCTGGAAAAGGCTCCACTTGGTTGTTTGACACCCCTATTTTGCTATTCTCCCGGCCCCACAACTGGAATAACACAGACTTGTCACCTTCCTGACCAGTAAACAAATGAGGGTAAAAGCCAGATTCCAGGGGTGCAGGGAGCCTCTCTCTCTGGTGCTGTCAAGGCCCCAGACTGGGTTAGAAAGCTGGGCCTCTGGTGCTGTTCTCTAGAAAGAATCTAAACTAGGCTCTAAGTGTTTCATCTGTTCATTTTCTTAATCCTTATTATCTGGGGTAAATATAATTATCCAACCTCATTTTGTTACGTGCTGTCAAGTCGGAACCAACTCCGAGCTGACTGTCCAGCGGATTTTCACAGGCAGTTTATCGCACAGGAAGAGACAGCCCATCTTCCTTCCTGGGAGCACTGGCAGATTCCAACCACTTTCCTTTGTGTTGGCAGCACAGTTCCTTATTCACTAGGCCATCAACACTTCCTTAATCTCTCTTAGTTTCCTCACCAGTAATATAAAAAAGCCCTTCATTTTACTGGTGAGGAAACAGGTACGGGGAAGTCACCAGACTTGTCTAGAGTTAAACAGCAAATAAGACCCAGGCAATCCCATCCTCCAAGAGTCCCACCCTCCAAGTGGACTCTTGGAAGTTACCTTTACAGGGTGAATCCCACACTGGGGACCACTCTGGGGGAGTGAGAACAAAGTCCTCACCCTTTGGGGAGAGAGAGAAGAGAGTAGGGTCAGGAAAAAAGGAAAGAGGGGAGCAGGGACCCAAGAAATTGTTAGAAATGAAGGCCCTGGTTTTGAATACTACTGGAAAACAACAGAAGAGGGAGCTCTGAAGTCAGAAATGTCTTCTCCTTAACATCACATCAAAAAGAGCCAGAGGCAGAGAGCTCTGGTGGCCTAGTGTCAAGAAGCTGCGCTGCAATCCCAAAGACTTGGAGTTCAAATCTGCCAGATCTCCCCTGGAGGAGGAGGAGTCGGGTCTGACCTGATGATACACAACAAGGGGGAGGAAAAAAAGAAAGAGAAAACCAGAGGGAAAAATATCAGTGTGTAAGGGTCAGTGACATCTAAAGTTGTAAGATGAAAGAATGAGGCTCTCGGCTGGATGCTGCTGCGGGAGCCCGGTTTCAAACTCGAAATAAACTTTGTTAATGGCGAGCTCTGGTGGCCTAGTGGCAAGAAGCTGCAACTACAATCCCAGAGGTGCACGGTTCGAATCCATCAGATGCTCTGCCGGGGAAGGAGGGGCAATCTCCTCCTGTACCAGTCAGATCTGATTTGACGGTACACGCACACAAAAATAATTTAAAAAAAAAAACTTTGTTAATTCAGCTAAAAAGATGAAAGAATGAGAAGAGCACCCCTCAGAGTGTCTAAACCCACCCAAGCTTCATTTCTTGCCCGCATAGATGAGGCTGTCAATTTACAATTCCGGAACCCCAAAGAAGGTGCTATCTTAGGCAGTCTTTTCTAGAGATGAAAAACTAGTAAAGAAAAATGCACAAACATTTTATATACATGAAGTTTAGGGAGCTCTGGTGGCTGAGGGTAAAAGAGGCTGTGCTGCAATCTGAAAATCATGCGGTTCAAATCCACCAGCTGCTCCATGAGAGAAGGCTGGCAATCTCCTGTGTGATTTACTGCCTTTGAAAACTCACTAGAGGGTTAGCTATGAGTTGGTTCTGATTCAATGGCACACAACAACACAAAAATTATCTACAAGCACATGACCCATTAAGAGAATGCTATTAGCCTCCTGTATACATACATACATACATACCCATTCATATATGGAATGTGTATATGTATATGTATATATGCACACACACACACACACACACACATATATATATATATATGAGAGCAAGAGATTTAGCTCAAGTATGTGGTTCACATGTTTGTAGAGTCTGACAGTCCCAGATCTGTGTTCAACAGTCGGGTTAAAGGTTCATCCTGATTCTCCACAGAACAGAGAGCCGAGGTGACTACAGACCAGAGAGGGAATAGAGGAGGAAAAGCCTAGAACAATCTGTGGTATTTATAATCAGCTGATTCTCTGGAAGCATCCGTTCTATTCTAATAGATTTCTTTTCATGAGAAGACCATATCTTAACGGTTACTCCAGGATTGTTTAAAGCAGGAGGAAGGGTAGTAATTCAGACAAAGATCATGCAAATAATCCTTGGCTCTGAGAGGTATTTATGGCTAACATTTGAATACAGCTGAAGCCCTCCTGGAATAATGGCTGCACCACTGTTCCCTTCTGAGCTGAGGGCCCATCATCTCCACAGAAGAACCCCCTCTCTCAAGTTCCTACACTCAGTGGGGATTGTGGTTTTGATTTAAGGTAATTTGAGAGGAAGTGATGTGCTGGGAGGGAGAAAGGGGAAGGAATCAGCAAAGAACTCTGGTTTTCAGTGGTTTAATGAATCAAGCAGTTCTTGGCAAGGGTGAGGTCTTGGCCAAAGACAGCGGGCACTGGCTATGGTGAAGGTGGAATGGTCAGAGCTGGGAGAGGCCAAGTCTGCTCTCCCATCCACTGATTCCTTCCTTCCTGGCCCATTCCCTGTGCTCATCCCGTGTCCTCTCTACTTCTCGGTGCTGCACTCCAGCTAACCCGGGAATCACCATGGCAACAGAAGAGTCCATCATCCGCATCCCTCCCTACTACTACATCCATGTCCTGGACCAGAACAGCAATGTATCCCGTGTGGAAGTCGGGCCGAAGACCTACATCCGGCAGGACAATGAGAGGTTAGTGTAAGCTCGGCTGTGTGTGGAGTCCTTGGGGCTGAGGATGACCCCTTAGGCTGGCTGCTATGGTTACGGTACCCTTTTTCCTATTTCTAAGCAGGAGCAGTTTTTCCTCAGGTGATGGAGGAGGTTGGTTCTTAGGGGAATAAGTGGGCAAATTCCCATTTCCTGCTTCTGGGAATTGGATGAGAGCGGGGTGACTGGGCTCTCACCCCTCTTCTCACCCTCCAACAGGATACTATTTGCCCCCGTGCCCATGGTGACTGTCCCTCCACGCCACTACTGCACAGTGGCCAACCCTGTAGCTCGAGATGCCCAGGACTCAGTGCTGTTTGACATCACTGGGCAAGTACGGCTGCGCCATGCTGACCTGGAGATCCGGCTGGCCCAAGAGCCCTTTCCCTTATACCCAGGGGAGGTGTTGGAAAAGGTACTTGACTTGACTTGCCTCTCGTAAGGCCCAGCCTCCCTATCTTGCTAGCCTGTCCTCACGCTGCACATTAACTTCTGAAGGGAAACAGTGGGGTGGGAGTGGGGTGCTGTGTGCAGGCTGGGAAAGGAGAATGGCTGACTCAGCAGAGGCTGAACGGACTCCTCCCTCCTTCACATATGCTCACTACAGAAGGCCCCTTCTTTAAGAAACTGTTGGTTTGTCTTAGCATTTGGTCTACCAGGCTCCCCAGAGGCTTCTGAAAGCTACTAGCTAGTTTTAGTGCTAAATGACTCGTGTATGTTATTCTCTCAAACAGTGACAGACACTGTGGGGCAATAGCTGAACAGTGATGAGCCAAGGGAAGTCCAGGATCAGGGGGCCTGTTCAAGGAAAGGACTGGAGGCCACACTTGCAAGCGGTCAGCTAATTCCATTTCCTTAATTCTCTTCTCCTTTACTCATTCATAGTTTTCACCCTGGGTCCTCCACTGACTGGTTACTGATCCTCGCTGCATAGTAATATGACCTGGGGAGCTTTCTGAGATATTTGTGGTCACGGCTGGCAAATATCTTAGGAGAAAGAGCAGGTGTAGAGAGGTAATGATGAAGAATGTGATTAAAATGTTGTTCCTCTGAGAATCTGGTTGAAGATTCTTGATGGTATTCTTAATACAGTTCCTGGTATTTTTCTGCAAAATTTGTGAAACTGACCTCCATATAAAAGTTGGAAAAGAAATTAATGCCCTGGCCCTTCTCTAGACAAATTAAGTCAACCTCTGGATGGGGGTAGGGAGCATGGTGGCGCTGTGGTAAGGAGCTGGGCTACCAACCAAAAGATAAGAGGTTCAAATCCACCAGCTGCTATCCAGGAGAAAGATGGGCAATCTCCTCTCGTGCAATTTACAGATTCTGGAAACCCCATGGAGGGTCAGCTATGAGTCAGTTCTGACATGACAGTATATTACAACAGCTGGGTTGGAGTTGGGGGATAGGTCAGGTTACAATATTTAAGTATTTATTATATTAATGTTTACTCTTGCTTTTACCGAATTTCCTAATGTTTACTCTTGCTATTACCTAATTTCTTTGGGTATCAAAACCCATTTGTGGCCACATAGAAGAAAAACCTTGTAAATGTCTCTAGTAAAAGAGTTTCATTCATAAGTCCATTTTTTTAAAGCATCAGATATCAAATAACAACTTTTTTAAATATCGGAAGGTCCACAAAATAGAGAAACCTTATAAATGTTCCTGCTGTGGAAAAGTTTCAGCAAGAGCTCAAGTTATGATAGACATCAGAGCTCACATTTTGGGAAGTCCTACCCATAGCGAAACCCTTAGCATTGTCTGGGTCAGTCCAGTGACAAATACTGAGCTACTGGAATCACCTACACTATTAAATCTGTTCTGCCCCTATCTATTTTCATGGATTAAAAAGAGAGAATCTACAGCTGCTTTTTTTTTTAAATTTAGGTTGTTTATTTTTCATTTCAATGAACATCTACAGAGATTTTGGGATTCCATTCATTCATTGTTGCACCCTTCTCCCCGCACAAACCCCTCCCCTGCTTTTTTTTTATAGCTGCTTTTGAACTTGAAAGTTGATTTGGGCTCTTGGAGTGAACATCATGCTTCCTTAATGTCTTCTAACAGAGTGGCTGTAATTACTGTTCACTGGAGTAACTTACATCAGCTCAGCCCTTTAGAACTAGGATTTCAGAGCCTGTCTTGCAGATACAAAGCGCAAGCAGATAGAGAGGACTAGGGACCTCATTTGTGTTCTTTGACATGTGAGTACAATGTCAACTTGACATGCCTTTTCTTCAAATAAAGTCCGTAGAGTCAGTCCTCAAAACAAACAAACAAACCCCAAACCAACTGTTTGTGGGGGAGAATGGGGGACAATGTCTTGGAAGAAGAAGGCCTGCGTATCATCGTTATTGCTGGGCAATGAGTAACAACGATCTGGGTGACTTAAAAGGACACATATTTATTATCTCACAGTTCTGCAGGTCAGGACTTCATATGGCTCAGTTCTCTGCTCAGTATCTCCCCTTCAGAATGTCTACTGGTTGTGATTTGAGGCGTAGAGCCCCCTTCCCAGATGGCCAGTTTCAGTTCCTTATGGTCGTAGGAATGAGGTCTCTATTTCTAGTTGTTTCTCAGCTACAGAGGGAGTTCTGGTGGCTTAGTGGTAAGGAATTACTCTACCAATGCAAAGGTTAAGTGGTTTGAATCCACCAGCTGCTCCATCAGGAGGGAAAATGTATACTCTCTTCCCATGTGATTTACGGCCTCTGAAAACCCACTGGACGGTCAGTTGGGACTTGAACTGTACACAACAACAACAACATCTCAGCTGGAGATACTCCCTTGTCTCCTCAATAACACCCACATTCCTTCTCACGTGGGCCTCTCCATCTCCGGACCAACACCAGTGTGGTGACTTCTCTCACATTTCCAGTCTCTCTGTTTCTTTTCTTCTGCCTTTCCCCCTTTTTTCTTTCCCTGCTGCTTTTTTTTTTCACCTTTTTGATGCTTTAAGTAAAAGTTTACAGAGAAAATAGTTATCCCATTCAAGCAGTTGTATACATTTTGTTTTAGGACGTTAATTATGGTCCCTATGTTGTAACCATACACTAATCCTTCTATCTTTTCAGACCTTCTGAGCTTTCTCCCTGCACAAATACTACTCTTTTAATTTGTATAATTGCTTATTTTATGGGCCTCATAAACATGTTCATTATGTGGCTCAAAGTTGAACCACAAAGCTGACATCAATTCCAAGCTCAAAGAGTTACTAAGACTATAGATTTGAGGGTTTCACCAGTTTCTGTGAGACCTACAGGCCTGATCATTTTTCTGATTTTTATTTTAGTTCCACATTTCCCTCCTACTCTATTCAAGACCCTCAACCATGATAGTTCACTCAGCATAATGTTCTCCATCCTCTCCCAGTTTACGTAGTCTTTTTCAAAATTGTTGCTCCTGAGTGCTGCATAGTATTCCATTGTGTGACTGTACCACAATTTCTCAATTCATTTGGTTGTGTTTTAACATTTGGGCTGTTCCCATGTTCTTGCGATGGTGAATAATGCTGCTGTGAATGTTGGTGTACAAATCTCCATTTGTGTCTCAGTTCTAATTTCCTTGGGGCATATTCCTTGTAGTGGAATAGCAGGGTCATATGTACTATGATCCCTTTTAGAAAAGTCAACAGTGGTAGCTGGGCACCATCCAGTTCTTCTGGTCACAGGAGAGTTGAGGTTGAAGTTCCTTCCATTCCTCACCTCATTGTCATCAAGTTAGAACTGACTCATAACCAACCCTCCAGTGGATTTCAGAGGCTGTAGTTTGCAAGGGAGAAGACTGCCCATCTTTCTCCCTCAGAGCAGCTGGTGGGTTCAAACCCATTAATCCTTTAGAAATGTCTTTGCTTTTCTTTGCTCTTCTTTGTTCCGGATAGAGAGGGGGCAATAGATGGTCTCTCAGAAACTTTTAAGACTTCAGTAGCTACTCACCAAAGAAGGAATTAGAATGTTGTTTTTTGTCGACTAGATTATGCTAATTGGCCTTGATGCCCCTCAAGGCTGTGATCCCTGGGCCCTAGGAGTAGCAGGGGGTTTGCTCCAGACGTCCATGAACAGCACAGTATTGATAATATTTAACATAAATACATATTCATAGCCTGGAAATGTATCTTTTCACCTAACATTGGGCCCTGGTATGGCAGAAGAGATGGGGTAGAGAGGAACCATGAGGGAGGAAGATTTATTCTTAAGCAAAGCAGGAGAGGAGAGATGGGGAAGGTCAGAGCTACTGAGCTCTCTGGAAGGACCGTGTCCTCACACCAGGTCATGAAGTAGTCACCTATGCTCCCTCCAAGCCCTCTACCCTGTTGGCGTAGTATGGAGGGAGTTGCACTGCTAACTTAACGGTGGCGCTTCTCTGGAGGTTCGAATCCACCAGCAGCTCTTCCTCAGAATGGGCAGCAATCTCCTCCTGTGTGATTTACAGCCTCCAAAAACTTGCTGGAGGGCAGGGTCCATTTCCAACTTGAAAGCAATGAGTTTGAGAGTTTGAAACCATTTCTAAGCATTTCCTACAGGGGAAATGTCTATTATTTTGGTTTCCGGGCCGTGGCATCCGTCCTCTAGCTCTGTTGATGCTGTTGCTTAGTTCTTCAGACCAGGTGGCTTTGGAATTGCTCCTAACATACACCTTTCACCCAGGCTCTAATTTTGGTACATGTAAGGGTTGATGCCATATATTCTGACCTCCATTGTTTGACCCCCAGAATCTCAAGACAGCAGTTCATGAATTCCCTTCTCCCTCTAGGACATCACCCCGCTGCAGGTGGTGCTGCCCAACACCGCCCTCCACCTTAAGGCGTTGCTGGATTTCGAGGATGAGAATGGAGACAAGGTGGTGGCAGGCGATGAGTGGCTCTTTGAAGGACCTGGTGAGTTGCCCTCCTGTCAGAGGACTTTCTGCTGTCCACAACAGCCCTGCTGTCTTCTGACATTGACTCTGCCCTTGGTCTTCCCTTCCCAGGCACATACATCCCCCAGAAGGAGGTGGAGGTCGTGGAGATCATTCAGGCCACAGTCATCAGGCAGAACCAGGCCCTGCGGTTGAGAGCCCGCAAGGAGTGCAGAGACCGCGATGGCAAGGAAAGAGTGACAGGTAGAGCTGAGAAAGAACGGTGGTGGGGGGTGAGCACACAGTGCCTCTTGACTGCCTTTGCTGCATGGCCAATAGGGGAAGGTTTGGAAAGCTTGTCATCTAAGACTAAAATGTGCCTGATACAGGCCATGGTCTTTGCAATCACTTGCTGTGTATCAGAAAGCTGGACAATGACTAGGGATGACAGGAGGAGGACTGATGCCTTTGAGCTGTCATGCTAGAGAATAGACATGGACTGCTAGGAGAACAACCAGGTTCATCCTAGAGAGGGTGAAACCAGGCTGCTCCTTGGAGATGAGGATTCTGAAGCTTCGTCTGACATACTTTGGGCATGTTGCAAGGAGGGACCAGTCCTGTAATCATATGATCACCCCAAGTAGAGTCATGTTGACATATTGGTTTTTTCCCCCCACCCTCTTCTTCTCCATAAAGAAGTTGGGGATGGTGTCCCCTGTTTTATCCGATTCTAGATTAACAAAACAGATATTAAAATATAATTAACAAATGCAGACCTTACTCTTCCAGTTATGGTTCTTAAAATTCTACAAATATTACTTTCTTTAATCCTTGAATAGCCTTGAGAAAAAAGACAAGGCTAGAGGCTTGTGATCAACCAAATCTGCTGCCAATTTAAGGACCAACATGAGTGGGAAGAATCTGGATTTTAGTGGTTAGAAAGGCAGAGCACAGCAGCAGTTTGGACATCTGGGAATTTTCCTCTTCTCCTGGGATGTGGTTGTTGTTGTGGTTGTGTACCATCAAGTCGGAACAGACCCATAGGTGACCCTCCCAGAGGAGATGACCCATCTTTCTCCTGCAGAGAAGCTGGTGTATTCAAATCTCATGCCTTTGGGATTGCAGTGCAGCTTCTTAACCACTAGGCCACCAGAACTCCCAGACAGTTCATATTCTGTTGTGGTTAGAAAGGAGAAAAGAATTCCTGTCAGGCCCTTGAACCCAGAGGTTCACCTACACAGCCCAGGTCACAGGAATGAGCAACTTGGGACCAGGTTGATTGACCTTTGACCCTTACCCCTGTGCCCTTGGTCCAGGAGAAGAATGGCTGGTCCGGTCTGTGGGTGCATACCTGCCAGCAGTGTTTGAGGAGGTTCTCGACTTGGTGAATGCTGTGGTCCTCACAGAAAAGGTTTGTGCTCAAGATGGGGAGTTAAAGGGCACTGGATCTGAGGATGGGGAGTTATGGGGTGCTGGTTCTGAGGATGAGGAGTTATGGGGTAGAGAGTTAAGGGGCACTGTTATACAGGACACTCAGAATGTGAGATGAGGAGAGAAGGCCTATTTCTAAGGCCGCTTAACAAGTGAATAATAAAATATAAAGGTCAGATCACCTGAGTATTCTGGGTCATCTGAGATGGTAGAAATGGTCGCTCACCTGGAAGCATTAAGTGACCACTAGGTGGAGTTGCTGCTCATTCTACAGGAAGCTGGAGGTGCACTGACCCCGACTCCCCAATGGCTCTGCTTTACAGATAGCCTTGCACCTCAGGGCTCGGCAGACCTTCCGGGACTTTAGGGGTGTGACCCGCAGAACTGGAGAGGAATGGCTGGTGACCGTGCAGGACACAGAGGCCCACGTGCCAGATGTCCATGAGGAGGTGCTGGGGATCGTGCCCATCACCACCCTGGGCCGCCACAACTACTGTGTGATTCTCGACCCTGTGGGACCAGATGGCAAGAACCAGCTTGGGCAGAAGCGTGTTATCAAGGTACCTTCTCCCGCCTCTCCTCCCTGCCCAAGCCTTTCCCCACCTGACTCAGGTCTGCCCTGCAGCCTAAATGCCCGGATAGTGTGAGGCTCTCCCCCTCCCCTCCCATTCCTAGGTATACATTCCAGAAACACCAAGCCCTTCTGAGTCTCCCACATGGAATTCTCTCTGCCTTCCCTGGGAGCCCCTATGACTGTCTGATGGAAGGGCCTCCAGCCCTTCCTCCATGCCTAGAGACCCTATCCACCTTCCTCTCCCATCACACATCTCTCTCTTCTGGTGCCTCTGTTGTCCCCAAATGCATGCATTTAACTCCCTTTGGAATTCAGGAGATGGGATTTTTATTTTTTTCATAAATTCTCCATTCACTTTCACACATGACTCTTGCTGGACTCTATGTGGGACCAGCAGGGGTCAGCAGACTTTTTGTAAAGGACCAGGTAGCAGATAGTTTCGGTTTTGTGGGTCATATTGTTCTTGCTGCAGCTACTCAACTCTCCTGTTGTGAAAGAACGCAGCCATAGACCACAAGTAAAAGAAACGGGTCTGGTGGTGCTGCTGTAACACTCTATTGATAAAAGGAGGCAGGAAATGTGAAACAACTCAGATGACCATCAGCTGATGACAGGGCAAATAAAATGTGGGATGCTTCTACAATGGAGAAGAAGCTATTCAGCTATTAAAAGGAATGAGTGCTGACACATTCACCAACATGGATAAGCCTAGAAAACATTACACTCCTTCATCTAAGCCGACATTCAGCTGCCAAAAAAACACATGAAGAAATACTCAAGATCATGAACTATTAGATCAAACCGTGAGCTAGCATGTCACCCCAACAAAATTAGCAATTATCAGTAAGACATCAAACGGCAGTGCTAGCAAGGGCATGGAGAATTTGGGACTCACATGTCCGGTGGGAATGTAAAATGGTGCGACTACTATGGCGGGCAGTTTGATGCTTCCTTAGAAAGCTGTGAGCAGAAATACCATTTGATCCAGCAATCCCACTACTAGGTATATATCCCAAAGAAATAAGGGCTGTAATACAAACGTACACCCGTATTTATGGCAGCATTATTTACAATAGAGAAGAAGGGGAAACAGCTCAAGTGTCCATCATGAATGAATGACTTAAGAAACTGGTACATTCACACGGTGAAGTATTTAGCATCACTAAAAAACGATCAAGAATTTATGAAATACTGTACAACATAGATGAACCTAGAACAAATTATGCTAAGTGGCCTGTCACAAAAGGACAATTACGGTCTAAGACTACTAATAGAAAAAGCTAAGGAAAGGTTTACACACATATAGAATCAATCTTGGAAAGTTAACAGGGATTAAGAAGGGAGTAAATACTAATAAATAGTTAAATTAGGGCAAGGGGAAAGCAATATACAATGAGAGTTTGATTAAGCATTATAATTAAGAAATCATAATTAATGTTTTAAAACAAAATCTGAATGATTGAATGAAAATGCAGTATGATTTGTCAACTTCCTCTCAAAAAGTTTAATATGTCAAATGAAGAAGCAAAACACAAAGGCCACATGTTGTATGATTCCATTTCTATAAAATGTCCAGAAAGGCAAATCCATAGACACAGAAAGCAGATTAGTTGTTGCTAGGGAAGGGGAGAATGAAGAATGACTGGTAACTGGTACTTGAGGTTGTTTTGGGGAATGATAGAAAATATTCTATCAGATAGTAGTGATGGTTGCATAACTGTGAATATACTAGAATCACTGGTTTGTATACTTAAAACAGTATATTTTATGGTATGTGAATTGTATTTCAATATAGTTTATAATTTTTAAAAAGCAGCAAAAAAGCAGGTGGTGGTGTTGGGTGCCATCAAGGTGAGTCCGACTCAGAGTGACCCGATGAACAACGGACCTGACCCCTGACCTATACTATGCCAGCCTCGTAATCTCTGACCTTCTTGAGCCCATTGCTATAGTCACTGTGTCAGTCCATCTCGTTGAGGGTCTTCTTTTCTTTCGCTGACCCTCCACCATTCCAAGCATGATGTCCCTCTCCAAGGAATTGCCCTCTTAGCAACATGTCCCCAGATGCAGACAGCAGGCTGCAGTTGGCCCAGTTGTCCTTTTGCTAATGCTTGGCCTATACCATCCGACAAAAACAAAACATGGGAGAGCTGGAAGAGAAATCATAGGTGAATTCTTCCCTGTTGCACTTGAAGGGATAACTGTCCACTGTTTTGTGACATAGGGTGAGGGTAGGGCTGGGATGGATGTAGACAGTCATTTTAGGCTCATGTCTTCAGTACAGAGGTTGGAGGGGTTTGGGAAGGCACCCATGACCCCGTGGCAGCTGCACCAACCAACCCCTCATCTCCCACCAGGGAGAGAAGTCTTTCTTCCTACAGCCAGGCGAGAGGCTGGAGCAAGGCATCCAGAACGTGTATGTGCTGTCGGAGCAGGAGGGACTGCTGCTGAGGGCCCTGCAGCCCGTGGAGGAAGGGGAGGATGAGGAGAAGGGGGCCCACCAGGCGGGGGACCGCTGGCTTATCAGAGGGCCGCTGGAGTACGTGCCGTCTGCCAAGGTGCAGGTGGTGGAAGTGCGTCAGGCCATCCCTTTGGATGAGAATGAGGGCATCTACGTGCAGGACATCAAGACTGGAAAGGTAATACCTGGAGGGTGGGCAGCCGTGTGGCCACTGTGGTCATTGCTCTGGGCAGCAAGGGTGACAATGAAGTGGATGGGAACATGGGGAATGGTGGGGAAGGAGACTTCAGCTACATTGATAGGAGGACCTCAGTAGACTGGACCCCTTCTTGGTGAGGACATTCCATACTATCACTTTTTTTGGTCTTAAATGTCAAAGTTTAGAGAGTGTAGCTGACATGATGAGCTTAGGTTTAGGCAACAGACTGTCCCTACTGTAGATCTGGCCCCTCAGCCTAAAGTCCTGATACCGGAGGCTGGCTAGGAACAGGAAGAACCTGCTTCCTCTCTTTATCCGTATCCTGGTGGACTCCTTCTCGTCACCTCACTCACTGTAAATCCTAAAGCCAAGGAGATGCTAAGGTAATGGGCAGATGAGGACCACATCTCCAACCTCTTTCTTGAAGACCTGGAAGTACAGCTCAGGCTCCTGTGTCATATTAATGCAGTCTTTCGACCTCCTAGGATTGCATCTGCCCAAACGATGGCCCTTGAAGGAAAATACCAGAAGAAATAATATTGAACATCTCCTGTATGACAAGTGCACTATTTCTCAGCACTTAACATCAATGTCACTGAGTCAGGTCCAACCCCTAATGACCCCATGTGTGGAAGAGTAAAATCACATTCCACAGGGGTCAGTGGCTAGGCCCGCCTTCTGAGGTGCCTCCTGAAGCAGCCAAGCACATTAATCATTTTCACCACAGAGGACATTTCACATACAGAACACTGTTTATTGTCATGGTAGCCATTATCATTTTACAGATGAGACTATTGACGCCTAGACAGAAAAGAGCAGATGGTAAACTAGGATGTGAACAGAGGTTGTGTGCCCTCCTTGGACCCTGCTCCGGGACTGCTGGGTGGGGGGTTTCTTCCTTGAGCCTCCCGTAACCCCACGTCCTCCACTCTCCAGGTGCGCTCTGTGATTGGAAGCACCTACATGCTCACAGAGGATGAAGTCCTGTGGGAGAAGGAGCTGCCTCCTGGAGTGGAGGAGCTGCTCAACAAGGGGCAGGACCCCTTGGCGGACAGGGGGGAGACGCGGGTGACGAAGCCCCTTCAGCCATCGGTCCCCCGGAACAAGACCCGGGTGGTCAGCTACCGTGTCCCTCACAACGCTGCGGTGCAGGTGTATGACTACAGAGAGAAGAGAGCTCGGTGAGGGGCGGGGATGCGGGCTGGCCCCTGGGGTCAGGAGAGCTGGGGGACTGCAGGGTAAGGTGGTAGAGGACCAGAGGGGGTTGGGATGAAGCCTCACGTGGGAAATGGCATGGGGTCCCAGGCATTCTGCAGGTGCCTGACTTGTGCTCCCTCTGCAGCGTGGTCTTTGGGCCTGAGTTGGTGTCACTGGGACCGGAGGAGCAGTTCACAGTGCTGTCTCTCTCGGCCGGCCGGCCCAAGCGTCCCCACTCCCGCCGTGCTCTCTGCCTGCTCCTGGGGCCTGATTTCTTCACAGACCTCATCACCATTGAAACGGCAGACCACGCGAGGCTGCAGCTCCAGCTTGCGTACAACTGGTGAGGGGCCTGGGCGAGGAGTCGGTGAGGGCTGGGGTGCCGTCCAGGAGAAGCCAGAGGCAGTGGGATGCCTCCTGCAGTGCTGACTTAAGAAGGACCCAATGCTTGGCTTGATGCCAGAGTCAAGAAAAACCTGGGAAGTGTCTGCAGCTCCAGTGTGTTGCCTGGGGGACTGGCAGGGTTGGAAATTCAGGGATTTGATAGTGTCTGAGCTAAAACTCCCAGTAGGTATTCAGCCAAACACTTGTTTGCAAAGATATAAAAGTTTTATTGGAAAGAAACTGTGGGAGTGGGCACATGGGGCAGGGGCAGGGCCAGAGCAGAGCGCTCACTGTGGACGTGTTGGTGTTTCTCCAGTTTTCCAATTTGTAAAACGAGACAAGCCATTACCTACTTTGCAGGGTTGTTGAAAGGATAAAGTGAGAAGTAGAACCAGTGCCTGGGACCTAGAACTCAGAATCCCAGCTATTAGGAGCGATAAATCACTTCTAGAAATAACACAACTCCCAGTGACATGTTCCTCACCTCTTGGGTGGGTGGGGTGCTGTCTTATTCAGGGGTACGATAACATGACAGCCAAGAACAGACATAGGAGCATGATGGCCTGGGTCAGGCTTCTATCCTGAATGAACTCTGTGTGACCTTGGGCCATCACAGACCCTCCCTCAGCTGGAGAGTGGGGCTAATGCTTTCCCCACCACACACAGTGTCTGAGAACGAAGGGGCAGCATGTGTGGATGTCTTAGGGCTGGCAGGCACCAGCTAGTGTGGTCTGTTGTTAGCCCTGTTCCGGGCTGAGGTCCTTCTTGAAGGAAAACAGCTTCTTCCTTTTTGAACCTCTTTGCTCCCAGGTATTTTGAGGTGACTAACCGGAATGACCCCCAAGAGACAGCCAAGCTCTTCTCAGTACCCGACTTTGTGGGGGACGCGTGCAAGGCCATTGCATCCCGGGTGCGAGGGGCCGTGGCCTCTGTCACCTTTGATGACTTCCACAAGAACTCAGCCCGCATCATTCGCGCTTCTGTCTTTGGCTTTGAGACTGTGGAGGGCAGGGAGCCCAGCAGTGCCGCTCTTCTCAAGCCCCGAGACCGGGCCGTCTTCCCTCAAAATGGACTGGTGGTCAGCAGCGTGGATGTGCAGTCTGTGGAGCCTGTGGACCAGAGGACCCGTGACGCCCTGCAGCGCAGTGTCCAGCTGGCCATTGAGATCACCACCAACTCCCAGGAGGCAGCTGCCAAGTGAGTGAGGCCTGGGGCCTGGCTGCCCCCAAACCCTGCCTGTAGCCCACTTGCGAGGACCTGGACCTCTCTTTGCTGTGAAGGATACTTTTTCTACCCAATAGGCAGGAGGTTCATCGGTGTGAGTTACATGCCCCTTCCTGCCCCCATGGCTTTCCACGTTGTGTATGATAAACCCAAGCTGCTCTGAGCTCCAGCCTTGCCCCCCTGCCCCCCGACCTTCCACCTTCTCCCAGGTTCTCATGCCGCAGTCCCACCGGCTCCTTTCTCTCCCTTGAGACCCTTTTGCGTTGTTGGTTTCCTCAGCCCAGACTGCTACCCCAGAACCTTACAGGGCAGGCTGCTGCTTCAGCCTCAGCCCTAATGTGGCCTCTTGGAGAACCCTTTCCTTTCTGCCTTCAAGAAGGCAGTGCCCTTTGCCCAGCCACGTGCTCACATCATCCTGTCCACTGCTTTCAACATTACTTCTGTCTGTCTTCCATCATCCTCGGTGACTTCCATCCCAGTGGAAGGCTATCGTTAGAACAACACACTTGAGCCCGGCCCTATCCTAAGCTCCCCTCGTCTCTGACACATTTGAGCCCAGCCCTATGCTAAGCTACCCCCGTCTCTGACACACTTGGGCCCAGCCCTATCCTGAGCCACTCTCGTCACTGACACACGTGAACCCAGCCCTATGTTAAGCCACCTTCATCTCTGACACACTTTGCAGTCACTACATCCGTCCATCCTGTTGGGAGTCTTCCTCTCTTCTGCTGACCCTCCATCTTTCCAAGCCTAATGTCCCTTTCTAAGGAACAGTCTTTCCTATGCATCAGAGAGTTGGACAATGACCAAGGAGGATAGAAGAAGAATTGATGCCTTTGAGCTGTGGTGTTGGAGAAGAGTATTGAGAATACCAGGGACTGCTAGGAAAACAGATTCGTCCTAGAAAGGGTTAAACCAGGTGGCTCCTTGGAGGCAAGGATTCTGAAGCTCTGTCTAACATACTTTGGACATGTTGTAAGGAGGGACAGGTCCTTGGAGAGGGACATCATGCTTGGGAGGGTGGAGGGATTGCGCAGGAGGGGAAGGCCCTCTGAGGTGGATTGATTCAGTGACTGGGGTAATCGGGATGGGAGTGTCAGAGACGGTGCGATTGGCACAGGACAGAGCGGAGTTTGGACAGAGCGGAGTTTAGGGCTGTTGTACATAAGGTCACTGAGTCACAAGTGACTCGATGGCACATAACAACAACAGCACCATGTCCAAAATATGAGAGATGGAGCTTCGTCATCTTTGCCTCCAAGAAGCACTCCATGAAATCAAGGCCTCAGTCATGCTGTGTTCTCCTTGGCCTTGAACATTTGGCTTACAGACAGTGGCCACTTGCACCCATGGTCAATGTCTGTCCTGGGCAGTAGATGAATCAGTGGTCCCGTCCCTTAGAACTTACGTGTCACGTCTGGCCTGATGCCAGCATCTTACCTGTCCCTTCTCCTGTCCAGGCACGAAGCTCAGAGACTAGAGCAAGAAGCCCGAGGCCGGCTTGAGAGGCAGAAGATCCTGGACCAATCAGAGGCCGAGAAAGCTCGCAGGGAGCTCCTGCAGCTCGAGGCTCTGAGGTGCGCTGAGAACTAGAGGAAGAAGAAAACTAGTAGGGGGGATGGTGAGGGTCCTAGAAAAGCAGCTGGTTGAGAAGGGGTAGGTGAAAGCCCCAATCCAGGCCAGGGAGGAGGACGGGGTTCTCCTGGGTCCTTCTAACTGAGCTGCCTCCTCCCCCAGCACGGCTGTGGAGAGCACTGGGACGGCCAAGGCGGAGGCAGAGTCCCGTGCGGAGGCTGCTCGGATTGAGGGAGAAGGCTCCGTGCTGCAGGCCAAGCTGAAAGCGGAGGCCTTGGCCATCGAGACAGTGAGTGCAAAGCAGAGCTGAGTGCCCACTTAGTGTGCGTTCTGTATCTGCGTTTACTACTACGCAAAACAACCTACAGGGAGCTCAGGTGGCCTAACGGTAAGGAGCTGTGCTGCCAACCCAGAGGCCTGACAATTGAATCCACAGCTGCTGTGGGAAAAGACGGGCAGACTCCTCCTGTGGATTTACTGCCTCTGAAAACCCACTGGAGGCTCAGCTGAGTTGGTTTAGACTTGACGGCACCATCAACAAAACCAGAATCTGCAAGACACATGATAGGCTCATATATTGTTGTTGTGCAGTGTTGTGTACCACAGCTGACCTTTCAGTGGGTCACTGCCAATCGGAGATGCCTAATTATGGGACACACACTGCTGCGGTGAACTTGGTATCCCTGAGGGTGTCTAGTGAGAGGCCAGGACCCGAGCCAGCCGGCTCTAGAAGGGGGTCTCTGAATGTGGGGCCAGATACAAAACGGTGCAGGCCTGGCCTCAAGTGGTGCTGTGTGGGCCAGAAGAACACTGCCAGCCCCCGGGTGAGGGGTGCGGACTCACCCCCGATCCCTGGGAGAGTACAGGGGACAAGCCGGGAGAGCCCATCTTCCTTGGCCTCAGCCGTCTGCTGATGTGGATGTCGCCACAGTCCCACGTTCCCAAGCCAGCCAGCCCCCCATTCACAAAGGCCGTGCAGGCTCATTGTGGTTTCATGCCTCAACAGGATCCCTAGACTGTGTTTTCATTCCATTTCTTCCTCAGTCGGTGTTAATTCTTTCATTTCCCTTTTGCCTCAGGGTTCTACAACTATCCTCCATATCTGCTATCTTTGTTTTCTGGTCTTCTTAGTTGAAGAGGGCTATGGGCTCCCAACTGCCTTGTCTGCCTTCATACCTGGAACTATTTAATTTTTCTGGAATTGAGTATCTTTTACATGCATGATCTTATTTAGTGCTTGAAATCCCACAAAGGGAGGCATTACCTCCATTTCACAGATGATGGATTAGAAGCTCAGATAGAGGTTCCCCAAGCACAGCCATGATTCATGCCTGACTGACTGCAAGTTTACAACTTTATCCCCGAGTTGTGTTACTCTAGTGAGCAGAGAGATACATTGGGAAGTTCTCAGAGGCTACATGATTAAAGGAATCCTGGATTTGTTTTGTTGTTCCCCCTTCCAGGAGGCTGAGCTCCAGCGGGTAAAGAAAGTGAGGGAGCTAGAGCTCGTCTATGCCCGCGCGCAGCTGGAGCTGGAGGTGAGCAAGGCCCGGCAGCTGAGTGAGGTGGAAGTAAACAAATTCAAGCAAATGACAGAAGCCCTGGGCCCCAACACCATCAGGGACCTTGCTACAGCCGGGCCAGAAATGCAGGTGAGACTTGAGGAAGGCCAAAGGGGAGGGGTCTTGGGAGCAAACCAGAATTAAGAATACAGAGTCAGGGAAGAAAATGCGACATTAGGGGAGCTCTGGTGGCCTAGTGGCAAGGAACTACAATCCCAGAGGTGCACAGTTCGAATCCACCAGATGCTCTGCCAGGGAAGGAGGGAAAATCTCCTCCTGTACCAGTCAGATCTGATTTGACGGTACACGCACACAAAAATAATAAAAAAAACTAAAATTAAAAAAAAAATGCGACATTGAGAAAGACACTGGGGCAAAGGGACAAGGTCAGCGATGGACCTGCTGCCATACCAAGTTTCTCGACTGACAAATCCAGGGGTGCACCAGTGAGCCGGGCACTGTACTAGACCCAGCAGTAGCGGAAGGTCCTGGGGAGATGTCAGATGGGACAGCATCAGTCAATGACAAGTGTGTCAAAGGAAGTCAAGCAGGGGGATGAGGTGATGAAGGGGTTGCCACTTCAGATTAATCAGTTAAGGAAAGAGAGGGGGCACTTGAGCCCCAAGTGGCATTGAGAAGAACTTCCCACTAGAAAGTCCAAACGAAAAGACACAAAGAAGCCAAACTTGGTGGATCTGAGGGATAGAAAGGACTCGGGCTGCAGCAAAGCGAGCAAAGGGGTAAAACGCTGGGCTGCTGGGGAGGGAGGCCCTCCACTGAGCTTTCCTTTCATTACTGATTGAGGTGGGAGGCAGCTGCAGTGTCAGACAGAAGGGGGGCCCTGGTCCAGAGCCATCATGGAGAGAAGAGACACCTGGGTTCTCACTTTCCTTCCTCTCTACCTCCCTCCAGGTCAAACTGCTTCAGAGCCTGGGCCTGAAATCGACCCTTATCACTGACGGCTCCACTCCCATCAATCTCTTCAGCACAGCCTTAGGTCTGCTGGGGATGGGGTCCGAGGCCGAACCTCCAGTCAAGAAGGCGGCTGGTGAGCCCAGCCCCCAAGGCTTGCATCAGCAGAGCCCACCTGCCCCTCACATTCTCAGGGGCGTCCCTATCATGCCTTAAAACTGCACTGACAAATAAAACTGACATTTCTGGGCATTAAAACCTGTTGTTTCCTTAAAGTGAAAGGGCGTTTAGTGGTGGGGGTACCCCTGAAATCTTGAGATTGTTATAAGGGACGCTGCAGGGAGAAGGAAGCCTCACCGTCACGCTGATGGGAACATGACTCCAGAGCTTTGCCTGAAATCTAGATCTGCCCTTTTGGTTGGGGAGTTAACTTTCCTGGACCTTGGTAGGTGGCGATAAAGCCACAGTGGGCAGGACAAGGCCTGTCTCTCTGGGATGGCTTCTGCAGAAGCAGCCTCTTTTCTCACTGCCCATTCCCCTTGCCAACCACCCTGGCCAGGAAGTCATCGTGGTGGTCTAACACTCCCACTGACAGTCATCCATCACACCTCTGCCCCCTGACATCTGGGAGGCTCCTCTGGACACACCTGCTGCTCATTCCAGGCAGCTGCCAGACCTGTGCCTCTGGCCATCGAACCTGCCTCTCCTCGTACCTGCCAGGTCTCCCTCTTCGGGGAGGCAGGAATGAGCCAGGTGTATGAGGAACTGGAATTGTTCTCTGGGCTTCTGGATGCGTGGAGGGAAGAGATTAACTGCAGTGGAGTTTACCTCTACTCATGGTACCTCCTGCACAGTGGATCAGGCACTGCCCGTCCTGGGCCACCCCCATGGTCACTTGCAAACTGGGCCTTTGTGATTCACAGGGTTTTCACTGGCTGATTTTCAGAAGTAGATCAGTAGGCCTTCCTGGTGTGTCTTCGTCTGGAAGCTCCTGTGGGCCTGCTGAGTCCCCACTAACTGATGTGTGATGAGGGGGGGACTCAAAACTTGGGTCCTGAATAAACTGTCAAGGGTCTGAGTTATTAAATCTGATCTAATGCCTCTTTTTAATGTGTGAATATATTGAAACCTATTTTTCTTTGTCTAAAACTTCTGTTTCTTTGCCAAGGGACCTAATTACTCTTTAAGAGGGATACTGTTGTATTTTAATATTTTAGGAGTGACAATACATATGGTATTTGTCTGAAACAGCTCCTTCTTACTTGTTTCTGTCCTTTTTCCTCTTATGGAAAGCTTCAAAGGTTAATCAGAAAACTAGTCAATTATCCTACTGCATAGCTGACCCTCCAGAAGGTTTTCAGAGGCAGTAAGTCACACAGAGATTGTCCATCTTTTTCCTGAGGAGCAGCTGGTGGATTTGAACCATCTGTCCCTGGGTTGGAAGCACAATTCATTACCTACCAGGCTGCCAGAGCTCCAAGGAGTAACTTTTTTAAAACAACAAAACCAAACCAACTTCCTGCCATCAAGCTGGAACATAGTCCTAACTGACGCTCCAGTGGGGTTTGGGAGGCTGTAAATGACACAGGAGCTGCTGGTGGATGTGAACGGCAAGAGAAGCGTCACCCCCGAGCCACAGTGTAGCTCCCCGTGGACTGTGCCACCAGCGCCCCTCAGTTAAACAATAAAGGCCGACAAATACACCAAGTGTATCAGACACACACACATTCAACAAAGACTCCCCAACATCTGATAACAAATGCTTTTTAATCATATGCTACCTCCTGAAATGGTTTGATTTTGACCAATTATTTATGTTATTCTGCATATTCCTTCCATCTTCTTTTTAAAAAAATTATTAATACTTCAACAAAAATTTACAGAAAACTTGGATTTCCATTAATTCATTGTTGCACATTTTCCTCCCTACCCCCCTCAGTTCACTTTTCTCTTAAAAAATTTTTTTTCATTGTTGCACAATTTCCTCCCTCCGCCTGCCCCCCAGTCCACTTTGCTATGCTCTGGACTGCTGTCATCTTCCATCTTTTGATGCTTCCTGCGTCATTCAGTATTATGTCTACAGAATCCTTCAGTATTGCAATGCAAAACGTGAATGTGTTCTTTAGTTCAGCTTGAGGAATGCCTTCTCTTTGTCTTCTAACTCCAGGTCTTTGTACATTTCATTGTCATACTTTCTTCTTGAGTTGCCTTTGAAATCTTCCATTCAGCTCTTTATCATTTCTTCCTTTCCCTCTAGCTTCCCTATGCTATAAGGCATATTTTAGAGTCTCTTTTGACATCCACTGGTCTCTCTTTTTTATATCTTTATTTTTTTATTATTAAATTTTATTAGTTTTAATGAACATTTACAGAGATTTGGGGTTTTCATTCATTCATTGTTGCATTTTTTATCTTTTTAAATGAACTGTTTTCTTTATATCTGATGTCCTTGATGTCATTCCACAAGTCATCCTGAGTGTTCAATGCATCAAATCTATTCTTGTGATGGTCTTTACATTAATGTAAGATATACTCAAGGTCCTATTTTTATTCTTACTAAGTTGTTTTCATTTTCTTCACCTTTAATTTGAACTTGCACATGAGCAACTGATCACCTGTTTCCACAGTCTCTGGCCTTATTCTGATTGGTAATACTGTGTTTCTCTACTGTTTCTTTCCACAGATGTAACAGATTTATTTCCTATATATTCCATCAGTCAAGTTCATGTGAATAGTTACCTTTTATCTTTTTATTTGCAATGAGTAAGTCATTGGTCATACAAAATTTTATCATGTGATCTCTAGCTATATTTCTATCAAAGCTCTATTTTCCCACCCATCAAGTTTGTTTCCAACTTTTGCATGTTTTATTTATTTATTTCAGACCACAGAAGTTGGTAGAAATCTTCAGCTTCTATGTTGAGATGGACCTGAGCGAAGAATCCATTAATAACCAGTCCTCCTTATGTCCTTACTAATGACTGGTGGACCACAGTGATGTTTTAAGTTGCCTGGAATTAGTGTCAACTCACAGCTAGTGTCTCATAATCCTTTAAGATCTGAAATCCTTCAAGATCTGATTGTGCCCTTTTCCACAATGAAGAGTCACTCTCTTAGAGGATGTATACAGAGCCCTTTTGGAAAGAGCTGGAGAGAGACTGACAGCATACATTTTGGGCAGAGCAGTGAGTTCCTTCCCCACGGGGATGTAACCTTGCCTTCATTCAAGTATGGGAATCGAATGAGTGGCCACAATTCTCTGTTCTGGCCATTCAAGTTAGACTGCTGTCCAACCTCTGTTTGTATAGTTGAAGTAAATATTTAATAGACTCCCATATATATTTTGCTCCAAGGAACACCATAACTAAGCAGCTAATGACAAAGCCATGAGTCAGGTATTTTGATTATTACTTTGATGCTTGTCTGGAATGCTACAAACGCCCTCAAAAAGGACTGATTCTGAGCCAAACTAGGTTAGAGCTGAATTGGGCTCAGATAATGATCTCTGCTTTCCATTAACTACCTTACAAGTGTATTCTTCCTCTCTTGTGACTCTGATGTTGCAGGTTTGAGGGCATGATGGTATCGGGCAACTCCAGTCCCCTCCTGCCTTTGTTGTATGGTTTGATTTGTTATGTGATTTGACTGTTTCCTAGTTAGTCTAAGCCTGAAAGCATGTACTCTGGCCCTGTATGACCACCTTCCCTCATGGTCACCACTGCAGACTCAAGATCGAATCCAGAACACTGCCTGTGGAAAGACTGAAAGCTGTTCATCTTTGCAAATGTCCCTGAAAACAAAAACTAGGAACTGCCAGGGAATCACAGCCTTTGGCGCAGCAGGCAAACTCCTCACAGTCTAGTCAGCGCAGGCCCCCACATAATCCACGCTTCAGTGACCCAACCAAATAAACTTCCAGATCCTGTCTTGACCTTTTGAGCTCAAACATGGAATCTGAGCTTAGTGGGCCAAAATCAATAAACTCAGACTCATTGAATTTTCTGTTATTTGTACCATTATCCCGTACCCTTGGTAGCCATCACCACACATATTCTCCAGGTTTCTGCTTACACACATTTGAAAAATGAAAGCAGTTCTTTAAGTCGGCAGCTTGCTTCTTTCTGGATCCCAATTTGTATCTCTCCTTTGGGGACTTGCTGGATTAAAGTCTAGGTAAAAGCTCAGACAAGACTCATTAATCACAACTTGGATAATCTCACCAGATGAGGGAAGGAGGACTGGTTCTGCTGGCAGGGCTGGTTCAGCTGAATTTAGATGCTCAATGACCCCAGACTCCCCACTGTTTGCTCCCAAATCCCCTTCAGACATCAACAGAAGTTCAGAGGTTTCTGAAAACCACCTTCATGTTTGAAAGTTCATTAAGAAGATTCACAAATTAATCATAGGGTCACGCATTTGATGAGTGGGTGGGGTAAAGGAAATGGGAAGGATCTTTTGTGAAAAATAAAGTATTCAGACTTTGTAAATAAGAATAAAATTTAAAAGAAAGAAGGGGGAAAGATTCACAAAACTCACTGGAAACTATTAGAGTCATGGACATATTACAGGGAAAGGATACAAATTAGAGCCAGCCAAAAGAAAAGATGCATAGGGCAGAATCTGGGTGGGTTCCAAACACAAAGCTGCTTCTCTTGTCCTCAAGAAAATATGGTTCCGTCAAGGTCAATATGGGATAGTATGCACTGGAGTATCACTGAGCAGGGCAATTCTAGTGACTTTTATTGTTTAGAGTTTTTACTGCAGTTTTATTACACAGAGTTGATTAATTAAATTATTATTTTTTTTAATTTTTTTTATTAT